AGTGCAGAGGCTGAGGCGGGGCTAGATCTCAAGACCCCGAGTTCGCAACCTGAGCTGAAATCAAGAGTTGGACGCTTAACTGACTGAGCCACCCAGGCGCCCCTGGTTGATTTTAAATGTAGGTTTCTTGGTGATGTTCTTTATCAAATTGACATAAATACCCTCTGTTCTTAACTTGCCAAGGGATTTTACCATGAATGTACATGGGATTTTGTCAAATGCTTTTTCTGTATCATTTGAACCTGTTTCCTAACCCATCGTAATTAATTGCCAGACTTGGGGTTTGAAAGAATCTTTAATTCCTATAAATCTTGGTTAAAAAGTTACTGATACTTGATTTGATCAACTTTATTTGGGATATGAATGATTCTTCAAGGCAGATATTGTTTCAGGGCATGGCTGTAATTTGGGATCCCCATTGGGTTTCTATGCCTAGGCTTGCAAGGGCACCTTCACATTTTGGTTTAGCACCGTGATACTCTCCTCTAGGGTTTGTCTCATTATTTTGGGTGATTGCTTATTCTTGAGCTTTTCAGCACTTGCAGAACTTGGCTTTTATTATCTATGTTTGTCTTTCCTTGTTTTTTTTTTTTTTTTAGGTAGAGTCTCTTCTTTCTCCTAGGTTTGTGGTGGTTCTGTGTAAATTGAGGGCATGCACTTACGGGTACTAGATGATTAAAACACTGGCACACGCTGTCTTACTTCTCTACATGTTTCATCTGTGGAAATCTCATCCTGTCAACACTATACCTCTCTGGGCCTAGTCTCTAAATGAAGGGATTGAATACAATCTCCAAGACATAGTTCTATGTTTCTGTGATTTTAATTAAGGAAGACGAATCTTTGTTAATAAAGACGTTAGAGGAAAAACTTGGTACAGTAATCCCTCTGGAAAAAAACTCTCATCTGGTTCGATGGGAGATCTGCTGAAATAGAGAAATCCAGGATTCGGGTTTAAGTGAGGCAATGTAAGTTGCGTTATTTTCTAAGAGATACCTGGTACTTAAAATGCTACCTGCTTGGCAATTTTGTTCAACTCATTTGTTTTTCCTTTTCTAAGTTTTTTTTTAAAGATTTTCTTTTATTCTTTAAAAAGATTTTATTTATTTATTTATTTTACAGAGAGAGACTGAGGGGCTGAGGGGGAGGGAGAGGGCGAGGGAGAGAATCTCAAGCAGACTCCTTGCTGCGTGCGGAGCCCAATGACAGACTGAATCTCACGACTCTGAGATCATGACCTGAACTGAAACCAAGAGTCCGATGCTAAACCAACTGTGCCCCCTAAACCAGGTGCCCCCTAAGATTTTATTTTTAAGCAATTTCTACACCCAATGTGGGGCTCACACTCACAACCCTGAGATGAAGAGTCCCACACTCCACCGACTGAGCCAGCTAGGCCCCCCTCCTTTCCTAAGTTTTATGCTTCTTTTTGAGATGCTTATTGGAAGTGTTCATAACAGTTAACATCTACAGCTCAGCCATCTTTAGATACAAATATCGTACCTAACTCCCATCCTCTGTGTTCTTTCTCGTCACTCATTAGGACTCCTGTAACAGTGCTCTTTGAATATTGTATCAAAGAGGATAACTTGGACTTTTGTGGTATTCGGTATTTTATTGTTTTCCTAAAAAGTGAGTGCAGCTCCATCATGAATCATTTGTAAAAGAATGGGAATTAGTGTATTCTTGGAGAGTGATTCAGGCTCTGGGATGCCATGCTCCTCAAGTGTGGTATAAGTGACCCTTTAACAGGGTTGCTAAGCCAGTTGGCTGTGGTAAAGCCTTTTACAAAAATGGAAACCCAAATCCTGACAATTCTCCCTCTACTTGTACTTTATGGACACATTTGAAGGCAGAAAGGTTGAAATAAATGTGCTACAGAAACATAGCAGTTTCTTGGTAAGGCCTAACAGAATGTGGATCTCTGATCATTGAAATGATGTCGTAAAATTAAGTGGGAGAGTACTTCTGCTATTAACTCTGACTTTTCCCCTTGCACACGTGTGTTGTGACTTTATGCATGCGTGACTTTTGTCAACTCTGTCTGTACAGTCAGTTGCAGGCCCTTGAGTGTCATTCATCCTACTTGCTAATGACCACAAGATCCTAAAGAACATCCTACACACATCTCAGAATTTCTATCTATGCAAATTAAAAGTAATTTTAATGCTCAAGACAGTGAAACAAGTTAGTAGATTGTCTACCACCATAATTATTTCTACATCATAAGTAATATGCTTCCCAGGTGGATAAATTCAAAATGCTAATTTCCCAATGGTAAATATGCATGATTTCATTCTGGGTGATCTGAACCGGAGAAAAATTATGACTCAGTCTTGAATTTTACTATGCACCATTTTCGCTTGGATGTTCCATCACCCCGAGTTCCACTTATCCAAGTCAGAAGTGCATATTTTTCTTCTGAGAGAGGCCGCCTTCCCAATTTTCCTATTTCCTATTCTCCAAGTCACCCAAAAGCAAAATTTGAGTCCTCTGAGATTTCTCTGTCTTCTTTAACTCATAAGCTTCTTTGTTACCATAACCTGTCAATTCTTCCTTTAGGAATCCCCCACACTACTCTTATTTCATTCCAAGCCCTCACCATCCACTTATTCAGTCAACCTGCAAATATTTACTGGACATCTACCCTGTGCCAGGCCCTGTGCATATGGTGTAGTGAGGAAGATAGACAGTAATAAGCACACACCGATATAAACCTGCAGTGGTGACAACTACTCTGAAGAAGAGGTATGGGGTGTCCTAAGAGCCTAGAATAGATTGGTGTGACCTAGTCATGGAGGCTAAAGAAGGTAGCAGGCTTCCTTGAGGAAGTGATGCATGAGCTGAGCTCCGAAGGATGAGGAGAAGACGGATGGGAAGAACATTCCAAGTACAGGTAACAGGGTAGGTAGCAGTCTTGCGGTGGAAAAGAGAATGCCAAGTATTGGAGGATTTAAATGAGGCTGGTGGGCTGAAGCCCAAGAAACAAGGGAGAAACCTTACACGGAGTGAGGCCAGACAGGTGGGTAGGGACCAAACTGTGCATAGCTTTGTAAGCTCTATTAAGAGGCACATTTTTTTAATCCTAGGAATAATGGAAGGCCACTAAAGGGAGCTAAGTTTGTGTGTATTTGTGTGTGTGTGTGTGTGTGTGTGTGTGTGAGAGAGAGAGAGAGAGAGAGAGAGAGAGACATGATCAAATTTGCATTTCAAAAAGATCATCCTGATTGAACTATGGAACAGATTGGAGGGGGGCCAAGAGCAGAGGCGGAGAGTTCAGTTGGGAGGCTACTGCAGAGTCCGGGTGAAGAGACTGTTGGTGGTTTGGTGAGGGTTGTAAGTGATTGAGATGGATAGAAACAGATGCAATCAAGAGCTATTTAGGAGGTAAGAGTCATAGGGCAAAATTATGGGTTGGCTATGGCAGGTGAGAGAGAAAAGGAAGGAGACCGAGGGAAAGGGTTTTGGCTTGCATGACTGAATGTATGATGATGTCTTTCACTGAGAGAGTACTGAAAGAGGACCCAGTTTGGAGAGAAGACAATGAGTTCAAATTGGGGCATATTGAGTTTGAGGGGTTAATGAAATATCCAAGAGATGTCAAGTGAGCAATGGTGGAGCTCAGAATAGAGATCTGGTCTAGAGATATAAACTGACTTTCATCTGTGTACAGGTGTAAACTCAAATATGAAGGGGTATGGAGGAACCACGGGGTAAGAAGAAAAGAGGTGCTGGGACCAAGCCTTGAGGAACTCTAATATTTAATGACTGGATTAAATAGGATGGGTCTGCAAAGGAGATAGAAAAGGAGTGGCTGGAGGACATGACATATTTATTTATTTATTTATTTATTTTTAAAGATTTTATTTATTTATTCATGAGGGACAGAGGGAGGGAGGGAGAGAGAGAGAGAGGCAGAGCGAGAAGCAGGCTCCCAAGGAGCAGGGAGCCTGATGCGGGACTCGATCCCAGGACCCCGGGATCGTGACCTGAGCTGAAGGCAGACGCTTAACGACTGAGCCACCCAGGCACCCAGGACATGACATATTTAAAGAGTATTTTAAGAAGGATGGAGTAGTCAATATTGTCAAAAGCTGTTGCGAGGTCAAATAAGATGAAGACTGAAAAAGTATCCATAGTATGTGTCTTCATGGAGGCCATTGGTGGCCTTAGTGGGTGCTGTGCAGTGGAATGATGACAAAACCCAGACTAGGGTGGGCTAAAGAATGGGGCCGAGGAGGGTGGAGACAGTCAGTATAGATAAACTTTCTTTAAAGTGATGTGATGGGGAGGAGGGAGATAGGGCAGTACCTGCAGAGGTGTGGGGCTTTTATTTTTTTTTTATTGTAAGAGACTAGAAGATGTTTTAAATCCGGAAGGAAAGGCTCCATGGGGAAAGGGGGGCTAACTGCGATGGTAGCCCAGCTGAGTTTCTGATCGCTTCAATTATGTTTTCCTGTGAAGTAAGGGACACAGTTACTTAATAAACATGTGGGGGCAGAGTTTGATAATGAGGAAGGTTTTATTTTATGTATTTATTTATTTTTAAGATTTTATTTATTTGACGAGAGAGGGACAGAGAGAGAGAGAGAGCATGCGTGAGCATGCGAGTGGGGTTGGGAAGGGGCAGAGGAGAGGGAGAGAGAGAATCTTCAGCAAGCTTCATGCCCAGCACAGAGCCCAGTGCAGGGTTCAGTCTTATGACCCAGAGATCATGAGCTGAGCCGAAATCAAGAGTTGGACACAACCAACTGAGCCACCCAGGCGCCCCTGAAATGGATGTCCTTCTACTTGTTACATAATGAGGGCATTTTGAGAACCATATAGAGATTTTAGAAAGTAGAAAATCATCTTAAGAAAAACCAAGTAATCAAGTGGCTTGATTATATCTGATACTTATCACCTCTTAAAAACATGAGAAAAAATTATAGAGCTCTAACAGAATTGTCTCTGATTTCTAAAGCCAAATCCAAAGTAACACATGCTTTCTAATTTTTCAGTTGTTTCTGAAAATATAACAATTCAAGAAATGAGCACAACTCTCTCACAACAAATAGATTTGACAACTCTATCCCAAGTTACTGGACTAAAACCACAAGAGACGATATATTCTTCTACAATGACGTTTAAAAGCATGCCTGTATTTGCAACTGATTATACAACCATATCATATTCCAATACAACATCTCCACCTCTGGAAACAATGACTGCACCAAAATTTTTAAAGACACCCGTAGCTGAGACAACCAGATTCATGGCAGACATTTTGTCTACTTCAGCGGCCATCACTCTGCCTACCAAGAGTACCTCTATAGGCACTACTACCAACTCCATGAAAATAACTAAATCCCCATCTTCAGAGAGCACAAGGACAACAAAAATGGCTGAAGCCATTGCTACTGAGACCTTTCATCCAACTACAGCTACGAATTTTCTATACATGTCCGGACTTACCAAGAATTCAATTATATCCAAGACTTCAGTGACTGGATCTCAGTCAACCATTATGAAGACAACATCTTTATTCTCATCTGCTGAGTCGATACCCATATCTACAACATCTTGGCCCAAACACAAATCCACAGGTATTGATGCACTTTCAATCGCCACAGGTAGCCAGGAGTTCCTTGCCTCTACAGCTGCTGGAACCGTACCTTGGTCCATGGTAGAAGAGACTTCAGCTACAACTACTCATGTTGGGACTGCATCAACATTCCCACCTGAGTCTGTGCTCAACTCCACAGTTGCTCCAGTGGATTCTGTATTTCCTAGAAATCAGACAGCATCCACATTGGCAACAACTGGCATGGAAATGGCATCCCCAATTCATTCAAAAACGCTCCCAACTAGGCCTATTGAGATGATGCCTGTGCTAACAGCTGAAACAGAATTGACATCTACAAGTTTCCAAGACATCTCTTCACCCAGAATGGTGGATACAATATCTACCTTCATACCAAAAAGGGCCTCTTCTGTGGCCCTTTCTTTCAAGACATCCTCCCCGTTCACCAGAGCTCAGAGTGTACAGCCGGTTATTGATGCTGAGACTACACACACAGCCTTGACTCTTGGGGTCACACTTGCACCCATGGCAACTGACACTCTGCTTCCCCCCATAACACCCGGGCCAGTATATACCCAGAATACACCCGCAGGTGGCGGAAACATGCTTCCTTTGAATGCCACTAGATCAGCTTCCACATTCAAGGCATCTGAGTCTGGTCACACATCGATAACTGATGATGGTGCCCATCTGTTCGCTACCAATGAAACCACGTGGACTCCCAGGCCAGACCGGACCTTGTGGACATCAGCGTTCCACGGGAGCGCTTCTAATGCAGGACATTCATCCACTACTAGCACTGCTACTATCCCACCAGAGGCCCCCTCCGGAAGCGAGGCTACCACTATCACTGATGCTAGCGTGACTGCTGGTGCCTCTACAGACGGATATGCAACAGCTCTATCCACACTCACGACTTCGTGGCTTGCTAATTTCGCCACAGTTTCCAGAACCACATCTGTAACCAAATTGCCTGAGTTTAAACTTACCACCTTGGGACTAAAAACTACTCCTCTGCCCACAGCAGCTGGAGGTGAGCTTCTTTCAACACCAAGGGAGACATTGGTTCCACCGGTAGGTATCATATCTACGCTTGCTGACATTGGACCAAATGTCTCTACCGAGGAGAGCGCTAACGGTCCTGTGACAAGGACAGAAACAGCTTCCCGTTACCTTGAGGGAAAATCAACTCTAGCAGTGACAACTGAGCTTTCCCCATTTGCAACAATGCTGGAAGCAACAGAAGAATCTGCACAAATGGTAACAGCCTTTGTCACCATTTCCCCTTTTCCTGACGTAGAAAAGTTGACCACCCCATTGGATAATAAAACTGCAACCGCTGAGGTGAGAGGAAGTTGGCTTTCCACAAAATCGATGAAAACCACACCTAAGAGCTCATACGACGGAACCACAGAAATCTTTAATTCCGCCCACACCCACACAGCACATTGGACTTCAGAGGCTCCACCTGAGGGAAATCCAACTCCATCTCCCACTTCTGGGAGCACACAGATATTCCCTGAACCCCCGGGTGCTTCCACCACCAGGGTATTGGGGACCAGTTTTGCCCCTCTCCCTACAGACATGACAGCTATGTCCTTGTCTGCTGGCATCTTGTCTCCACAGCCTACTGCTACCCATTCCTCAGCAGCCCCTGTGCCATCAGCTATGGTGACCACAGCATCGACGTCACCATTGGGTCAGGCTGCTTCCACAACCAGCGATACCGTGCCTACCCACAGACACTCGGTTCCCACCACTTCAGAATCCACAGTGTTCTCTGTCAGGATGACACCCACGGCAGTTCCCTCTCTGGCAGAGACTCCAGTCCCCTCACGGAGGCCTCCCACTCCCGTGGCAACTAAGGCTGAGACCACCTTTCTCTTCACCTCAGCTGACACAGTAACCCCATTTACACCCACTCTTGTCTGCTCTAAATCTCTCCCCGGCAACATTCCTGTTGCGTCCTCCACCCATGTGATTTCAACTATGTTGACACCAGTAGCAACCCAGCCCATATCTCAAGGGGAGGAGACTTCTACCCATGCTCTCAGCCTTCTGTACCCTCTCAGCAGCAGTGAGGATGTTGTTAGCTTGGCTCCTAGCTCCACAGAAACTTCTGTTGTTGATGAGACCATGCTCTCACACACCTCTGCCAATAAGCTTACAGTAGATGGTCACATTTCTCAGTCTTCAATAGGTCTTGGAAACACATTGGTCCCCACCCTATTAGTGACTGACATTTCTACTGTATCTTCTGACAAAGAGCGGATGACCATATCCCTGGGAAACGCCCCTAGAACTATGGAGGTGACAGAAATGTCCCCACCAAAGAATCCTTTTATTTCAGACTCCCAGAGTACTTCATCCTTGGAAATGACAGATACAGGATTTGCTGAGACCACAATTTCCAGTCACCAAACACATTCACCTTCAGAGTTTCCACTTGCAACTCCACCTGACAGGATTTCAGCTTCATCTCCCACTTCTGGGACTATACAGACTACACCTACCTCTATCTCAAGTCACACAGTAGATGCTCACATTCCAGAAATGTCTACCAGTCTTGGGAAAACAGCCCTCCCTTCACAAGCCCTGACAATTACCACATTTTTGTCTCCTGAAAAAGAAAGCGTCAGTGCCCTTTCAGTATATACTCCCAGGACTGAGAATATGACAGTAAGTACCACCTCTGTGACTCACCCTTTCTCATACTGCCAGGATACTTCATCTGTAGACACCATAACTTCCAGGACAACAAGAATATCCAATCCTGTAAATGTCAACACAACTCTTTCATACTTGCTTTTCCCTAAGACTCAAACTAAGGTGACTTCAGTTGCCTCTCCCATTTCTGAAAGTACACAGACCTCCCCTGAGTCCCTGTCTCTTTCCACAACTGGGCTAGCTGGTGCCAATTTTACAGTCGTCTCTGCTGATGGGATCACTACAGCCCTGTCTGCTCCAAATGCACCTACGGCACTTCTTGGGAAAACCTCTGTGGCGACATCGACTCCTATCTACCAGATGTCCTCATTGCCAGTCAGTGTCACTGCCTTCAGCTCCAAAAGAGTTTCTGACACTCCCACGATACCAATAACAAAATCTTCTAAAACAGCACACCCAGACTGTTTGAAAAGTCTTTCCATAGTTACTTCTGGGCCTATGTCTGAGATGCCCTCAATGTCAGTTAATGGCTCTGCTTTCTCACCTCCAGCTGTTTCTTTTGACACTTCCACAAGAGTTGGATCATTCTCTTCATTATTGTCTACCCCTAGGACTACTATGACCCTACAGACATCTACATTGGATGTCGCACCTGGGCCTACTTCAAAAAGCGCACTGTTTTCCTCTGCTTCCTTTACTTCAGGAATGACAGAGGTGTCCTCCAGGATCACACCTACATCCTTTTCCTCTCTGACACAGCCAACTTTCCCCTCTGTGAAAACAATTCCAACCACTGTTATGGCGGGGATAGCGACTCCATCCATAGGCACCGCTGCCTCCGCTCTACTCGGTTCTAGGAACACTGAAGCTATTTCTTCCATTCCAAAGACCACATTTTCACCATTTCGGTCAACAACTCGGCAGTCGTCACAAAGAGATGAGACTACAACTCTGGGCATATTATCTGGGACTACTAATGGGTCCTTTTCTCCTGGAAGCAGTAGTACAGTAACGACTCTCACAAACCCTTATTCCAGAACTGCTGCCCTTGAAAGTGTGCTTTCATCTACTCCGTCAGATAATCTCCATACTTTATTGAATATTCAGGTTTCCCCATCTTGGACGAGCTTTAAGAGCACTCCTGGACCCACAGAAAGGGTAAAAGCCACCACTTACCTTTCTTCAAATACAGAAAAGATGACTTCCTTGTCAGAAAATACTTCAGCAGCTGAACTAACAAAAGGTGCCACATCTGTGGTTACCCCTGTTTCCTACCCCCCACGGACTCCATCCATCGCAATGCCACGCTCTTTGACATCATTTCTTTTTTCACCTCATAGTACTGAAGCCAAGTTCTCCACTCCAGAGACTTTTTTCCCTCTTACATCCCAAATGGTTGAATTTCCAGTTCTGGGAACAAGAATCACATCTGGTAACACCCAGTCTCCGCTTATGACTTCCTGGAACACACCCACAGCTAAAGGTTCTCAATTTCCAATTTCCACCACTACTCATACACCTACACCCTGCAAGGTGGAAACAGAGACTCCATACCTTGTGCCTGGGTCTTTGTCGACATTCACAGCTTCTCTGACTGGTCTGGTATCTGGAGATGTTATGGCAAAGTCATCAATTTCCACGTCAGGAATCCTTCCTACGTTGGGGATATCTGACAGCCCTTCATCACCAATATCTTCAAGACCTACCACTATCACTTTGGCTGACATTAAGCACCCATTTGAGAAGACAGCTACATCTGTAACTGCTGGGACTACACTCGCGTGGAATCCTTCTGGTGCCACTTCAGGATCTATACTTTCAGAGGCTACTCGTTCATCCATGCTGGCTTGGATTTTATCTACTCTCCCTTCAGGTTCTCCACTGGCAACTGTATCCAGTATTCCTCACACTATACCTTCTTCTCCAGGAGAGGTGTCAAAGTCCACATTTCTGATTTCTGACACCACACCAGCGCACTCATTCACTAACTTTGCAACACTACCCTTTGCTGCTGTAAGCACCGCACTCACCCAAACCACCCCTACACCTACAGTGGGCAGTATCACTACTGGCTTCCCAGTTTCTCTCCCCATATCTATAAAAATCACAGCTGACAGTGCATACATTTCTAAATCCCCCGAGGCATCTTCCAGAACCACTGTGACTGCCAACTCCAGGACCGTGTCTCAACCTCTACCCTTTAGCAGAATGAGTAGGTCACCTCCTGCAACTGACCACATCCTATCTATTAGTTCTGAGCTTCCGCCTAGCCCCGCAGGAACATCTGCATGGAACAGAATCCCAGCTGCATCAGCATCCCCTACTTTAGTTCTTCCTAAGCCCACGCTGGACTCCTTTCCAAATATAACCACCACTACACTTACTGCTACCACAGCCTCGTTTCCACTCACATCCCCTGGAGTAACACATCCTTCTAGAGCAGCTTTGTCTTCACTACTCTCTTCCTCTTCTGAGACAACCCGGCTGGACTCCACACCTTCTTTTCTGTCTATGGAAACAGCAACTTCCCTTACTGCCACTAAGTCCATAGGTATGTTCCACAATAGGTGCAGCGTATCACTAACGAAATGCATGTACAATGGGTCACGTGTTCTCTACGGCGGCCATTTCTCTGAGGGCAGAAAAGGATAAAGAAGGGTATAGAAGTTTCCTCTCTCAGACAACGGGTCCAGGGGATACCTTGTCCAAACACAGAATTCTGCTTAGCTTTACTTTATTGAAATATAATGCAAATGTATCTCTTCATTCAGCGTGACATTTCTAAATACCTTTCCATCCCTTTTGTTCCTGATGCTCTGTCTCTGCCAGTGTGAACATGGATCAGGAGCTTCACCCTCTCCCAGTAGAGAATTATATGGCCTTAGGTCTGACATGATGACTGCATACCAGCAAACACCAGGAGATACTCTAGCCTGCCTTTTTGAATGCCTCTTAGACAGGCCTCAGCTTCTCCAGTCTCCACCTCCAGCCAGCTTGGAAAGCTTATCCATGGCTGGGGAGTATTTGCCTTCCATGTCATTCAAATATTGGATGTCCCTTCCACTTTTAACATTCCAAAATTGAAATCTGATAGGACACACAAGAGAAAGAGGAAAAGAGAGAAAAACCTGAAGCAGAAAGAAAGGCACAGGAAGAAATAAATATTTTCTCAGGGCAAATGATCTTGTGAGATAATGTTCAGCTTGACCATGAAATGGACTGGAAATGTGTTGGCTAATGAAAATTGAGGATTTGGGGGATTTGCAGAATGTCCATCAACTGTGTAGCCATCAGGAAACTGCCCAAATAATTAAAGCAAAAACGTGATGGTAATCTGTTTTGCTTTTGGATATGGAGCCCAAAGTGCTGGTTCTTGACCTTGGAGTTAAATTAAGCAAAATTTAAGAACGAGACTTCATTGTTGGTCTCTTTAAAATGACAAGCAATTTTCACCAAATTTATGGAAGTTAAATTTCTTGAACTAAGTGAATGAAATTAATCTCATTTTTAATTACAGTTTCCTTCTACAATATTGAAATGAGCTTCTCTGTGTTTGATGAAGAGCCAAGGATCCTTAATACCAGTGTTGTAAATGAATTTGCAGAAAATTGGGTAAAATAATCTTTTAAATATTTATAGTACATATAAAATATGTGAAGATACATATATGATGGACTGAGTAGATTAAAACTAGGCTTTACTTTTTTTCTACCCATAACATATTTCACAGCTAATTGGTTTTGACTTTTTGCCGCAAATTTATCCACTCTGTAAGTAACACCGTAAGGATGTATGTGGTCTCTCATAGTGCCAATGCTGAAAGCTTTTATGGGATGTTATTATTTTAATTTGCTTAGAACTGTACATTTCCCCCCACTGACACAAATTCTGGGCCTTTGCCAAATTTTTTTTTATTTGGAGAAAAGTAGGAGAGCAGTGATAACAAAGTCTATGCTATTGTATTTACATATGTTTGTTTTCTGCATTTTAATTTTTTTCTCTCCTACACAAGGAATGTTGTATTTATCCTTACATTTTTCTGATAATAAGAGTAATACATACTCTCTGTAAAAAATTCAGACACTGAAATCTGAGACCCAGACAGTAAATGTCTTCTCTAATACTGCTCCTTGTATTGATTCCTCTTAACAGTCTGAGGTATATTCGTTCAGATTTTTTTCCTATACCTGTGATAACACTGATGCAAGTATGTTCTTTGACAAAAATAACTGGAATCATACAATTATGCTGTTCTGCAACTTGCTTTTTCTCACTTAACTGTATATCTTTGAGCATATTCATGCTGCAAATATTGACCTACCTTGTATACCTGAACAGATACCAAGGATTTCACTCGATGGTTGTAATGTACTTTTTTTTTTTTTTAATCCAGACATCCGTTGGTGGACATTTAGGTTGCTTTTACTTATTTTTTCTCTATTTGGAAACAATGCAGACAATAACGTCCTTGCAATAAATTTTGGGGACACTTGAGTTTTTCTAAAGGATAAATACCCAGAACTGGAATTGTTGGATCAAAGGACATGAACTTTCACATTTTAGTAACTAGAGTTAAGTGGCCTCCCAGACAGGTGATACTAATTTGCACCCCACCAACAGTAAACGATCATGTCTGTTTCCTCTCTTTTTCCATCAGCATTTCTTTGCAAGTATGTATAACATGATTGTAAGTGCTTGAAAGTGGGTGGGTGTATTTGTCCACTAGGTCTGCCATAACAAAATAGGATGTACTGGGGGTCTTAAACAACAGACATTTCTTTTCTCATGGTTCTGGAGGCTGGAAGTCCAAGATCAAGGTGTTGGCAGGATTGGTTTCTCCTGAGGCCTCTCTCCTTGGCTTGCAGATGGACTGTCTTCTCTCTTTGTCCTCACATAGCACGCATGCACATGCACACACCCCAGAGAGAGAGAGAGAGAGAGAGAGAGATCTGGGGGCTCTTTCTCTTCTTATAGGAACACCAGTCCTATCAGATTAGGGCTCCACCCTTATGACCATATTTAGCCTCAACTGCCTCCTTTAAAGGCCCTACTTCCAAATATAGTCACATTAAAGGGTTTGGGCTTCAATGTATGAATTTTGGAGGGGACACAGTTCAGCCCCAAAATAGAAAAACTGAATGGAGCAGATGGAAATGTTGAACCAACCAAAATAATAAATACAGCATTGTCTCAGGTACCTTTCCTGGGTTAAGATAGAGGAGTGAGAATACTAAACCTGATATGTTTTATTTTTACAGTTGAATTCTATATTTCAGATCAGTGAATTTGTTCTTGCTAATCTGGCTATTCAAATCAAAACCAGGTATGTGAGTGTCATCTATTGTGGGTCGAAGGCAGTTTGAGGGATTCTGAGTATGTTCCTATCCAGAGGGGATTTTTCTTTCTTTCTTTCTTTCTTTCTTTCTTTCTTTCTTTCTTTCTTTCTTTCTTCTGTCTGAGATTTAGGGACTGCATTTTGAGTTGCATCTTTCCTTCTGAGCGTAGGTTCTCTTTGGAATAACAGAAATTTATCATCACTGTAGGGTGTAAAGCCAATGGGAGAACAAAACAGAAGGAAATAAATCGGGGAAATGGTGGAATTGGATCCAGTTACCCTTAATGCCCCTCTTAGTTTTAAATGATTCTGTGACTTTGGGGGAAAAAAAAAATCACGCCTTAAAGGGATGAAAGGCTAGGGATGGCCAATGGTGAAGATTTAGAAGACCCTTTATTTTCCGATAATGCACTTTCAGGAGTGAGAAATTCCAAAGGGAACTTGAAATGTTTAAAGTGAGGAATGTTGACCAGTCTAAGACTTGCCTGGGGCACAAATTTGGAGAGGCGATTGCATTGCTGCGGGCAGGCATTGAGTAGTCTCAAGGAGCCAAAGACAAAGAGAAGACCCGCCTTTCCCCACCCTCTCCAAGAACTCTGGTTCATTCCTCTAAAATACATCATGTACATCTTTTCAGGCCAATATGTACGATTTAGCTTATTCATTTTAATGACTGCATAGGATTCTTTTGCATGGGTGTGCCAAGGTGTATTTATCCAATTACCTAGTGATGGACATTTCAGTTATTTTCACTCTTGTACATATGTTTGTATGCACCTGTGCTGTAGTATTATGGGATAGATTCCTGGAAGTGGGGTTGCTCAGTCAAAGACTCACCACCATTTTGGTACATAGATAATAATCAGGCTTTTGAAGTGTCTCCTTAGAGCCCTAGTATTTGAATTCCAAGCTGGGGGATTCTACTGTTCTGCCTCACAGTTGTCTTTCTCCTGAGCTTTTGTCCTAATGTATTGCGCACCATATTTCATATATATATATATATATATAAATTTGTTTATGCTTTTGATACAGAGACACTTCTGAGGGGGAAATAACCATGGACCAAACTGTAGTAAGTAATTTTTCTTTTTTTTAAAGATTTTATTTATTTATTTGAGAGAGAGAATGAGAGATAGAGAGCATGAGAGGGGGGAGGGTCAGAGGGAGAAGCAGACTCCCTGCTGAGCAGGGAGCCCGATGCGGGACTCGATCCCGGGACTCCAGGATCATGACCTGAGCCGAAGGCAGTCACTTAACCAACTGAGCCACCCAGGCGCCCTGTAGTAGGTAATTTTTCAAAATGAATCTGCTTGTGACTCCTCCAATACCTGAGTAGATGTAAGTAAAATAGTGCTTCTACCCAAGTGTACACCAGGCAAAGCTCAACTGTGGTCATTGAGGGTCAAATTACATTTTTTTTTTTTGGCATCTGCACAAGAACCCAGTAAGAAAACCATCCTCTGCTTTTCTCCAGTCCCTGTGGGGCAGTTTTTTGGAGGCACATTTTGTGGGCTATGGGAGTGTGGAATGACTTGGGGGTTGTAAATGGCAAATGGAATTTCTTGGTTGTAGACATCTTAGAAAGAAGCCTGGTTCTTCCAGGAATGACACAATTTTTGCAAGACTGGCAGTCACATAATAAATCCACCCTTTATCTGTATAGATTTGAAATCAGGGTGTGACAAAATTATCTCCCATCATCCTTGCCCCAATACTCAGTCCTTATTCAGTGCCTCCAAGCATTACCATGTTAGACTCTGAAAGGATCAGTAAGCACAGACCTTGTAAGGTATTTAAACATGAGAGAAATATTTTGATTATACAAAGTACAATCAAGCCTACAGTGCCTTCCAAATTATCTGCCATCGTTTAAAATGCTTTCTGTAAAGAGCTGAGTCTGAATTTCTTAATTTAATACATTATAGATAACATGACACAAGTAAAATTCCTCTCAAATAATAGGTGTAAAAAGCCTTTTGGTGACAGTGTGGTCCCCAGAATCAGGCCGCCTGCGTTAGGATCCCTGTTCTTCCACTTCCTGACTGGGAGACCTTGGGCAACCTAATGAAACTCTCTGTGCCTCCGTTTCCTCATCTGTAGAATAGGGATGACAATATTACCCTTCCTCATAGGGCTGTTGGAAAGATGGAATGGGATGATTAGTAAATGCTCGATAGTGTTTACTATTGTCATCACCCCGTTAGGGTCCAGATCCAGAAGGCTCAGATTCTGCTCCCACTTCTGTGACTCGTCAGCTGTGTGATACTGGGCAGATCATTTAACTTCTCTGAGACTTAGCTTCCTTGTCTAGGAAATGGGGTGATAATCCCTGCATTGCCCACACTACAGGGGTGAAGTGAGGACTAGATGCGTTGACTTTTTTGAGGGTGATTTGCAAATGGCAACAAGTTACATAAATGTAAAGCATAATTATGATTGCTGTTGTTGACAATAAGCCCTGTACTCAAATGTGACGTTTGTTTAAAGATTTCAGTGATGATGTACTTTTGTTTTGCATTATTTTGGAACAGAGAGAAGGGCAAGGAATGGCTACAATTTCCCGTGTACCATCCAGGTAGGAGCTGAGTTTATTCATAGCTGGTACATTTAGTTCTGATTTTCCTTCCATTTAATTCTGTATTTGCAGCCTGTCGGTCAGAGTTGTCAGAAGGAGATCAAAGTACCTGGTGGTTATTTTACAGATGCTGTAATTGGGCTCTTGCCTTCATGAAATAAGTTGTTTCGGTTGGTCATGGTGCAGCCTAGCAGCCTGCCTCCTGCCTCTTTGTAGTGAAGAGAAAATGGGGTCCAAAGTGGTCATAATTTGGGGATGGGGGAATAAAGTGTTTGTTGTCGTCAAAAAAGTCCAGGAAATACTGAGCAGGGAAGTGGAAAAACAACATGGAAAGCTGCCTTGGTCCTGTTCAGACGCATGGTCCAGCCCCTTCTGGAACACTGCTTGATGCAACTCAGAGAGGCTCATGGGAAGGTCACTGACATGTTCAGGGTGCTAAGAGTAAAGAGTCTGTTGCAGCAAAGGGAGAGGTTTAAAAAAAGAGGAGTCCTCTTTAGACTGGCAAAATGAGAGCTGGGAAGAGATGGGCTCCATGTGGAAGGGCAGGGCAAGCAGGGACTCCACCGACTGTGGATCCGTGGAGGGGGAGGCATGGCTTAGATTGGACAAAGAGAAAGTTTGAGTTAACACAGGCACATCTAACTGGAATACCAGTCAACAGCTGTAGGAAACGTGGGAAATGTGTGCTTCCAAAAGATGTATTGGCAAATAGAAATGGGGAAAAAGTCTAGGTAAGCTTGTGACTCTTTTTTTTTTTTTTTAACGATTTTATTTATTTGAGAGAGAAAGAGAGCATGAGCAGGGGAAGAGGGGCAGAGGGAGAGGGAGAAGCAGACTCCCCGCTCACGGGGAGCTGGCCACGGGGCTCCATCCCAGGATCATGAGCTGAGCCAGTCAGCCGCTTAACCAACTGAACCACCCAGGTTGCCCCTAAGCTTAAAGATGCTCTGTAATGGAATAGCAGAGAAAATCAGAACGTCTGAGGACCTTGCTCCAGTGGTTGAGGTCAAGCATAGCCCTGTTCTTTTGCAATGTATCTTTTAGTGGACTGAATACTCTAGGGATGTACTAGGTATTTGTGACCTTGGCTAAGTCTCAGCTCCCTCATCTGTGGAATGGGGACCATAATAGCTCTACTCAGGAGGCTACAAATGTTAGCTACTATCACTACCATTATCTCCATTATTATTCTATTATAGAAATAGGCCTTCTGCTGAACACATCTTTAGAGACTAATTAAGCATGTGCCATTTGCCTTCTTGCAGTAATGATGGATAACTTGGAGACCAGAGGATAAAAGATTTTCTCCGAAGTAATAAATCCTGAGTACTCCATCTTCTCTATTAATTAGTACAACTCCTAGAGAACGCATGGCTAGTTCATTTTATTTTATTTTATTTTATTTTTTAAAGATTTATTTATTTATTTGAGGGGGAGGGGCAGAGGGATTGAGCAGACTCCTCACTGAGTACGGAGAGAGTCAGGGATTGATCCTGCAACCCTGAGATCGTGACCAGAGCCAAAACCAAGAGTTGGATGCTTAACTGCTTAACCGACTGAGCCACCCAGGTGCCCCTAGTTGATTTTAATATAATGCAACTGTTGCTGACTGTTCTTTTGAAAATGGGTTTTGAGTTGTTTGTTTTGCACATGAGAACATTTATTAGAAGATTCCAATATGCTGTCTCCCATCATGTCTTAGGATTTGCCCGTTGATAGATGTAAAATGTTTGTTATTTATGGACTCCCAATTAAGTCATCTGTGTAGAATTTCAGCACCATGGGCAGGTTGCGCTCTGTTGACATAACTGCAACAGCATTCTTTTTTGCTCTGCTTTTTAGCTATGTTTGTCAGACCATCCTAAAGGCCAGCTCTTCCTTAGCAGCCACCGAATTGATTAGCAGGATCAAAAGTAAAATACATGGCAACCTCACCCATGGAAACTTCACCAAAGGTCAACTGACGTTATTAGTAAAATCTGAACACGTTGCGGTGAAAAAACTAGGTAATTGGGGGGAGGGGTATTCCATACACATTCATTCCCCTTATTAGAGAGCTCATAATGCATGCACAGTCAGACATCCTGAGTTCTGGGGGGAGAGGAGTCGTCTTCATGTTCCTTTCCACATCCTCAGCGCTCTTGCCCTGACACTTGCCCTGACAACCTTCCTACCAGTAAGAGCTTATGAAAAACACAGAGGGGTTACCAGAGACCACGAGCCAGCTCTGGATATCAGCAGTGGCGAGTCCGTCAGCAGAGTGGGAGGACTGTCTCTCTTGCATAAATACTCAGAGGCCTGGGGAGCTTCCTTATTCCACACATTAACTGCCCAATAGATGCTTGCTAATTTATTGATTGATATAGCCAGGCTATTCATCTGGGAAAGTGATCTGGGAACAGTCCAGAATTTCTCTCAAGGGCATCTCTTTCCTTTAATGGTAAAGAGAAAGGCTCTTGGACCACCACTCCATGTCCTTGCCATGGCTGCCATTGGACTGCGGTGAAAACATCAGGCTAAGCCAGATAACACACGGAGGCATTAGAACACACAGTCCTTGGCAACAAACTGATCGGGTAGCAGAGGGCAGGCTGTGATTGCAAGCAACAGTGAAATGGGAGGCAGAGAAGTGTAGAAGCCACAGGCATAGCCCACCGTGCAAATGGCGCTGATGGCTATCCTCAGAGGAAGCTGGGATTCTCCCGGCTCTCTGCTTCTCCCGGCTACTCTGCCCACATGTGAAGGAAAGATATCCGGAATCAGGGTCACAAACCCAGTGGGTGGTCAGTAGAAACCGGGAACTTATCACACACACTCAGCCCAGGTCACTTCTCCCTTAACGTGACCACACTTGGCGGCAAAACTTTGCCCTTGGCACCACCAGCAGAGCAGAGCTCCCGTGTCTCATCCTGGCAATGGCAGACACATTGAGTTTACTAAAATCAAATCCACCCCAGAGTCCGTTAGGAAGGGAGGAACCATCCAGAAGGAGAAGTCAGCCTTTGGTTTCCTGTCACTGACAGTGGGGGTACCTCAGAAGGAGGGCACTTGGCAGGTGAGGACTTCTGATTTTTTTGTGTATGGCTTGAACTTTTTTCATTGCAAATGTAACATTTTTTTAAAACCAAGACAAAAAAAAAAACTGTCCTTTCAACTTGTGCTTTTAATGAAAAGGATTAAATGTGAGTTTTTCCCGGGAGGCTTACTTAAAAAAAAAAAAAAGACAGCATTTCATGTATTTTCAGTGAAGCCTGATTTAAAATGGCCTGGTAGAAAAAGTTTTTATTTGCTGGTGTTTACGTGTAGGGTAATAATGATGGGTCATAATGGATGTTCATGACACTTGTAAGTGCCTTTTACCCCTTCAAATGCATACGTTTTCTCCATAGAGCCGGGAAGGTGCAAAGCCCAGGAAACAGTCTCTAAATACAAAGGGACCTATAAGTGGCTCTTAACCAACCCTACTGAGACAGCCCAAACTAGGTGCATAAAAAACAGGCATGGAAATGCTACTAGGATCTGGTACGTATTGGCCAAGTTCTAATTGTCAGTTCAGAGACTCAAAGATCCTCTTAACTGGGGCCATGTTTCCGTCATTTGACTGAGCAGCCCTCCCACCCCCACCCCCTCTACCTTTCTTTCACCCTTTGGATCTACGTAAGCATGCACAGGCAACATAAGAGCATTCTAGAAAAATGTTCAAGAAGACAAGGGAGAAAAAGTTACCCATAATCCCACCACCGCTGCTTTTAGGTTGGAGTATTTTTCATCTCCCTGTTCCCTGTGTGCCTTTAAGTTTTATGTAGTTTTATGTCGTGGTAATCACCGTCCTCATCTCAATAATGTGATTTACCTTTTCACTCAACAGTTGATCAAACATTTTCCATGTTTTATGTTCTTCTTCTTAATGACCATTTCGAAAAATTGCCTCAGAAGCTACCTCGTTGATGGGCCATAATAATTTACTAAATCACCCTTCTATTGTTGCCTTATCATTTTCCTTCTTTAAATCATCAGTCCCTCTTCTCTGACTCTCTGCTGTTAATGGTTTATGCCATTAACTTAAGTAGGCAGACCAGAAGGGCAGCAGGTTTTGACAGAGGCTTAAAAGCTCTCTGTTGGAAGGCAACATCTTGGACTGGGTCCTACTCTCTTCGTACATCTAATCAGTCAGCAAATCATGCTGGTTTTGTGATCACAATCAAAGCTCGTATGTACCCTTTCCTTTCCATCCCCCCCCCCACAACCCCGGTGCAGACCCTTACTATCATCCCTTGTCTACTATTAGAGCAGTCTCCTCGCCTTCCCCCACTCTGGTTCCACATTGCCTCAGGTATTAAGTCTAAACTCCTAAACATGGTGCTCAAGACCCACAGGCTCCCTTTTTACCATGTGTGCCGGCCAAAAAGAGCCATTTGCTATTGTGGGCTCCAGTGGGTGCCTCCCTATGTCTTGTTCTCCACCTGTGCTATTGGCTCTGCTTCGGGGTGGGGGGGGCTTTCTACATCTCTGTCCTTTAAGCGTCCGGCTCAGCTCAAAAGTTGCAAATAAGTTCTTGCTTGGTGGTTTGATAGATTCAGTTTTGTTGGTACAGTTTTTCATCTCATGTCTTGCCTCACAGATGTAGTTACATGTACAGACTCGAACCACCAAGTTACAACAGGCTCCTCCAGGGACCGGACCCCGCCTACTTGTCTGCACCATCTGTCAGCAGTCCTGGGTGCTCGATCAATGTGCGAGCTCATTTGAAATGAACTGGATTGAATCGGATGAGGCATAGGGGAGGGTGGATGATGAAGGCTGCTGAGCTACAGAGGGTGCTATGCTCGTTGCCTTCAGGAAATGATGTGCGGAACTAGGGACCGCATTCTACCAGGAATTTCCTCTTTAAGTGGGGGTAAGAAGGGAAAGTGAGGGTAAGCAGCCATGTCCAGAGGGGCAACATCTCCGCCTCGACTCTCGCTCCGCTGAGGATTGCCACGCTTCATCTCAGACTCTCTTGCCTTTTTACACCTCCTGCATGGGGACCCTACATTCCTTTGTTCCCCAAGAGCAAAGTGTTCTTCCACGGGGCTCCCGCCTTTTGCTATCTCAGCCCAGAGGCTGGGAGTGGGCAGAGGGGAGGCATGCCAGAGCTATACCGTGTTCCTTCTTGGTTTGCTCTAAGACTTTTTCTGGCCTCATCCTCCAATAAGAAAGCTTTTTGTCCCTCCCTCCTCTCTTTTTCAGCTCAATCAGTATCCACACTGGCAAATCTCAGTGGGAAAAACCAAAGTTGAAACAATGCAAAGTGCTTCAAGGATTTCCTGATAAGATCATGGATCTTGCTAACATTACTATCAGTGATGGTAAGACTGTTCTGTACACATTAATGACATAATGGAACCTCGGTTAGTTTGTCTGCTTGACCTGAGATGAGAGGGTACAGGCAAGCTTCACGTAGGAAAATCTACCTTACAGTGATCCAATTTCAGAAACTAAGGAGTTAATGTTGGTAGAGGTGGGAATGGGGCATGCTAAGTTGGGACCGTCAGTGTTTTTTTGCTTTCTAGTGTTTTTTATTTTATAATTTTTGGCTAATTATTATTTTTCATTTCATTTTATTTTTTTAAGATTTTATTGATTTATTTGAGAGAGAGAGAGAACGAGCAGGGGGAATGGCAGAGGGAGAGGGGGAAGCAGGCTCCCCACTGAGCAGGGAGCCTGACTCGGGGCTCGATCCCAGGACCCTGGGATTATGACCTAAGCTGAAGGCAGAGGCTTAACCCACTGGACCACCCAGGTGTCCCATATTTTTCATTTTAAAACAGTTTTAATGGGGGGGGGTGCCTGGGTTAGTTAGTTAAAAGTCTGACTCTTGGTTTCGCCTCAGGTCATGATCTCAGGGTCATGAGATCAAGCCCAAGTCTGGCTCCGCGCTCAGTGGAGAGTCTGCTTCAGATTCTCTCTCTACCTCTCCCTCTGCCCCTCCACCTGCTCGCTCCCACACTCTCTCTCTCTTTCAAATAATAAATAAATAAATAAATATTTACAAAAACAGTTTTGGGGTGCCTGGGTGTTGCAGGCAGTTGAGCATCTGACTCTTGGTTTTGGCTCAGGTCATGATCTCAGGGTTGTGGGGCTGTGGACTGGGTCCACAGCCCCCCTGTGTCGGGCTCTGCGTTCAGCTCAGAGTCTGCTGGAGGTTCTCTCCCTCTCCCTCTCCCTCGGCCACTCTCCTGCTCTCTCTCTCTCTCTCAAATCAATCAATCAATCAATCAATCAAATCTTAAAAAAACCAAAACAGTTTTAATAGGTAATTCTTCACATAGTTCAATATTGCAAAAACAAAAAGGAAATACAGTGAAACATCTTCCCACTGCTCACCCCAGCCATTCAGTAAATATCCACAGAGGTATTTCATGTATCTATGCGGAAATTTACAGACACACACACCATACATATACATATACGTACGCATATACATGTATATTCTCCCTCCCTCTTAGTACACAAAGTGGAGCGTGCTATCCATGCTGCTCTGCACCTTGCTTTTCTCTTTTAACAATATATTGCAGAAATTATCCTTTTAGTATATGAAGAACTTCTTCATGCTTTTTATCACTGCATTATATTATACTGCATGGACATGCCACAATTTATTTCTTTAACCTATTTCCTGTGGGTGGGCATTTAAGTTGTTAATAACATTTTATTTTTACAAAGCTGCTGTAATGGATTCTGTACATATGTCATTTTGTATAAGTGGGGTATACTTGAAGCATAAATTCCTAAAAGTAGAATTGCCGGGTCGGTCATACTTTTGATGGTGTCAAAATGCTCTCTGTAATGCTTGCTTGCACTAGTTCATACTCCCACTTGCAAGGTAGGAAAGCACCTGTCTCAGGGTACCTTCATCAACACAGCATGCTATCAGACTTTTGTGATAAGCAGAAATTGATATCTCGTTGTGGTTTAAAAAGTTTCTTATGAAGCTATTCACATATCATAACATTTTACCCATTTACTGGGTATAATTCCATGGTTTTTAGTATGTTCACTAGATTGTGCAAAAGTCACCACTAATTCCAGAACATTTTGATCTCTCCAAAGAGAAGCCCCATACACATTAGCAGGCACTCTCATCCCCCCCCCCACCTCCCCTCAGCCCCTGGAAACCTCTAATCTACTTTCTTCTTTTAATTTTATTTTATTGTAGTAAGAACATTTAACACGAGATCCATCCTCTTGAAAAATTTTTAAAGTACAATGTTGTATGGCTGACCTCCAGAACTTATTCATCTTGCTTAACTGAAACTTTATGCCTGTTGATTAGCAACTCCCCATTTCCCTTCCCCCAGCCCCCGGCAAGCACCATTCCTCTCTGTGCTTTTGTGAGTTCCACTATGTTAGATTCCCCATATAAGTGAGATCATGCAGTATTTGTCTTTCTGTGTCTGGCTTATTTCACTTAGCATAATGTTCTCCAGGTTTACCCATGTTATTGCAAATGGCAGGATTTCCTTCTTTTTGAAGGTGAATAATATTCCAGTGTGTATGTATGTGTGTGACATTTTCTTTATCTCTAGTTGGACACTTACGTTATTTCCGTATCTTGACTATTGTGAATAATGTAATGAACGTGTGCGTGCAGGTATCTCTTTGAGATAGTGATTTTAGTTTCTTTGGATATACATACACATGTGAGATTGCTGGATCATACAGTACTTCTCTTTTTAATTTGTGAGGAACCTCCATACTGTCTTCCACAATGGCTGCACCAATTTACATTCCCACCCACAGTGTACCAGGGTATCATTTTCTCCACACCCTTGACAACACTTTGTTACCTCTTGATTGCTGATAATAGCCATCCTGACAGTTGTGAAGTGATATCTCATTGTGGTTTTGATTTCCATTTCCCTGATGATTATTGGTATTGAGTACCTTTTCATATATCTGTTGGTCTTTTTTATGTCTTCTGAGAAATGTCTATTTGAGTCTTTAGTCCATTTTTAAATCAGGTTACCTGTTTGTTCACTATTGAGTAAGACTTTTTTTTTTTTTTTGAGTAAGAGAAATTCTTTAAAAAAAATTTTCTTAAGTAGGCTCCATGCCCTATGTGGGGCTTGAACTCATGACCCAGAGATCAAGAGCTGCATGCTATACTGACTGAGCCAGCCAGGTGCCCCATGAGTTATAGAGATTCTTTGTATATTTTGGAGATTAACTCCTTATCAAATATATGGTTTGCAAATATTTTCTCCCATTTAGTAAGTTGTCTTTTCACTCTGTTGATTGATTATCTCCCTTGTTGTGAGAAACTTTTTATTTGATGGAGTCCCACTTGTTTATTTTTGTTTCTGTCGCCTGTGCTTTTGGTGTCATATCCATGAAATCGTTGCCAAGATCAGTGTCATGAAGATTTTCCGTTATGTTCTCTTCTAAGAGTTTTTGATTTTCAGGTCTTGCATTTAAGTATTGAATAATTTTGAGTTGATTTTTGTGTAAGGTATAACAGGAGGGCCAATTTCATTCTTTTGCATGTGAATTTTCAGTTTTCCCAACACCGTTTATGGACGAGATTATCCTTTTCCCATTGTGTGTTCTTTGCACTCTTATTGAAGATCAGTTGATGGTATATGTGTGGATTTGTTCCTGGGCTCTCTATTCTGTTCCATTGTTTTTTTTTTTTAAGATTTTATTTTTTTTTGAGACAGAGAGAGAGAGAGAGCATAAGCAGAGAGAGAGGCAGGCAGAGGAAGAAGCAGGCTCCTTGCTAAGCAAGGAGCCCTATGTGGGACTCGGTCCCAGGATCCTGGGATCATGACCTGAGCCGAAGGCAGCCACTTAACAGACTGAGCCACCCAGGTGTCCCTGTTTCATTGGTTTATAAGTCTGTCTTTATACCAGTACCATGCTGTTTTGATTACTGTAGCTTTGTATTATATTTTGATATCAAGATGTGTGATGTCTTTGTTCTGCTTTCTCAAGATTGATTTGGCTATTTGGTTTGTGTATGTGTGTGTGTGTGTGTGGTTCCATATGAATTTTAGATGCTTTTTCTATTTCTGTAAAAGATACCATTAGCTAGACTAGTTTGGTAAACTCTATTGTCCCTGCAGTGTACACCTTCTGATTCTTCTCGTTAGAAGATGCAGGCTTGGTCTTGTACCCATTCTCCCTGACTACCAAGGATGACTGTGGTTCTAGCTAGGTTCTCTCGGTTTCTTTCTCTGATCTCCCTGCTGACCTTCTGGATGGTGTGCCTCTCTCTCAGTATCACACCCAGCTGTTAGCCTCCTAATTGCTAGCTGATGGCTCTGTTGTTTTTGACAAAACCCTGGGGCATAAATTGCTCCATAGTCTGATCCCATTATAGTCCATCCCCTTGGCAGGGGCAGAGCATTGCCAGTCTTTGAGGCTTTCTCCCACCCTTCTCTGTGAAAAAAATATCTGTCCTATGGGGCAAGAGCTTGGGAGATGGTGGGGTGATGAATGTGTCCTTCACAAGGTGCTTCACCAGGGTTTTCCCTATGGAGCAGGGGCTGTGTTTGAATTTGAGGGGAAGGGGGACTTGCTGCTGGCACTCAGCTGTGGCCACTGCCCAGTAGGGATCTTCCACAGACACGAGCCAGAAATATGGGAACTTCCAAGGTTCACTGGCTCTCAAATCCACTCAGAATAGTTCTTCTACCCCAGGGACCTGGGGGAGATGGTAACTACCACTCAGCTGCCTAGCCCAACAGAGCAATTTTTCCACAAGGCAGAGCTCTGGGAGATGGGTGCATTTCCTAGCCCAAATGCCATGGCCTCCCACTGTACTGACCAAGTGTCCATAGATTTTGTTGATTAAATGCATCTCAGTTCGTTGGAAGATCAACCTCCAGAGACTTTGAGTGGTTGTCTTTGCTAATTTTGACAAGTGTAATAGAGGTTGCTCTTGGTGAACTTTTCCCCAACCCCTCCTTACAGTGCTATTCTTGAAGTCCTGCCCTTCCTTATCAGTGTTTTGAAAGCATGCCTAAGTTTCCCTCATCGACTCTCAGTCTATACATACCTTGTTAGGCATAGCTCTACCACGAGAAGCTCCCCCCCATGATAACTAGTTGGAAACTGAGGCACAGGACAGCCAGGGAATTGCCTTGAGGCAGTGAACTCCTCAGACTTGTCTTCCTTGCAGAAGATGGAAATTTGAGATCCTTGCCAAGGAATATCTAGAAGAATTAGAAAAGTAAGCATGGCTTTGATGGTTTCTAGGTCCAAAATCATGAGTCACTATGGAAGGTTGCAGCTTGAAGCAAGCAGGCAGTGAGTTAGAGAGGTCTGTGTTTCATGCTGACCTCCCTCCTCTGAGCAACACATTTTTCTTAGACACGATAATAGAATTTTCTCCTTAGGAGAAAAAGTTAAACAACCATAACAATAAGAAAAGCATTGCACTGAGTTAGGATTTTTAGAAAATTAACTGTCAGAAGTCACTTTATGAAAAAAAAATCTGCAGAGGATAAGAACAGTTGCATGGTGGCTTTAATGTATAGAACTGAAAGTAAATTATCAAATTTATTAGCTTCGGAGGAATCCTTCTCCTTGTAAGTTAGGAGCTTAATGAAAAATGAGTACAATGTAAGGGAAAGAAAACGCATTCACTTTGAAACAATTTTTCTTTAGCCTTCAATCTTGCTGACAAGCATTAGATATCTTGGTTGGAGAAAAACTTGTCAGTTCCCCAGTTAAATGCTCATTTCATGTAACTCCTTAATATCGCAGAGTTCAAAAAGGTACCCTTATTTCAAAGGTCTGTGGGTTCTTTGCTTTGCCCTGTCTTTGTAACCTCCAAAATACTGAAGATGCATCACACTCTAATGAAGTTGGCTGGAACTTTTCACAAAGCTGTCTCCTGGGTGTGTCCATCTCGCTGCCTGGGCAGGATAGTGCATGGTGGAGAGAGCACAATATAATTCCCAGGATGTCAGGGAGAAGGACTGCAAAGCACAGCTGTTCCAACCCCCAAACTGTAGAGAAAAGGGACAAAGCACAGATGCTGTAGTAGAAAGTGACATCAAAGAACACTAGCTTCGGAATCAAACAGGCCTGGATTAAAATCTGGGTTAGAACCTCCGTGTCACAAATTCTTAATCTGTATAAAGGGAATAATGTTGGTACCCGTCACACAGGGCTATCATGACAGTTAAATTGAAGAATGTATGTATAATGCCTTGTGGTATCTTGTCTCCAAAATGCCCACCATCGATTCATTCCCTCCTTGTCTATTAGAAGTTGAATCAGGGCTGCCTTGTGACTACCTAGCCCAGTAGAATTTGGCAGTGGTGATGCTGTGCCAATCGTGGGACTAACTTTTAAGGGGACTAGAAATTTCTGCTTCCATTCTCTTGTATGCTCTCAGAACCCAGACAGCATGCTATAAGAAGCCTGGAAAATGTTTAACCACCAGCTCTGCCAAAAAAGGTAATTTTGTCGCACTTGCTGATTTCCTTGGTGTAATCCTCCCCTGATGGATGAATACAAACTACAACATGCAATTACTGAACATGGAGTTGGTAAGAGATACACAGATACTGTAGATATAAATAATCACCAAAGCATAGATTACTAAAAGGTAGCAAACTCATTAGGAAGTGATGAGTCTTGGGTATCACCATTGTTTTTAATATAACTTATTAAATTAAAAGTTGATGTAATTTAATTTTTGATAATGGCTGTGTTTAATAACCAGCTCATAAAATTCCTGAAAATTTAACAATTCGTTCTGACAAGTTGATACCAGCTGGCTCCAGTTATACCACAGGCTGCATCCAGCATACCACTGAGCCTAAGCCACTGGGAAAGGCCATGTGTCGGGAACAGCCTCAACTGACCCCCAGAGGACAAGAGCCCCAACTGACTGGTCCGTGGGCATCAACTGCCAGCCATGTGAGTGAGCCATCTCGGACTTCCAGCCCAGTCGAGTCTTCAGATGACTCCAGTCCCAGCTGCCATCTGAGCGCAAGTGCATGAGAGACCCTAAATCAGAACCGCTCAGCGGAAACTGGTCAACACACAGAACCATGAGGGATAATAATGAATTCTTGTTCGAAGTCGTTACGTTTGGGGGTAGTTTGTTATGCAGCTGTAGACAACACCAATACTGGCTCATAGAAATTGCTCAGTCAATAACAGATATGATTACTGTTTTGATGGCTGCAATTACTGGCAGATTAATTGAAACTCTTTCAAGCAATGGGAGATCTATTTATTTTACAACGAAGAAGGGAGGATTCCTTTTACTGCTTTGGCTCGAGGACGTAGAATTTTTACACAATGCGTGTAATTTGTCCCGAGTTTGACTTAAAAACCATATAACTCTAGATGAAAAGTCTACAATTACTTTCCACAATATAGTCTCCCACTGGCCTATTGTTTACTTTCCTCCTGCGACAGCAGGGACTCTGCAGGAAGCAAAGTCACACCACCGAGGCCCAAAGAATGACTCCAGGTAGGCCTCTCTGGCTATCCCATTTACAGCAAAGCCTGAAAATTTAATAAGAACGATAGAAAGATTGGTGAATGAGAGCACTATATTTTTCTTCCATCCCCTATCTTATTGTTTTCTCAGTTTCTTTAACTGACCAGAAGATAGATGTAACAAGGACAAAATATTAGTTTAGAAATAATTACAACCTTGTTCAACCTCCCCCTTTCTACCTCAATTCCTAGGTAGGCCATGGTTGGGCAGATTGAAGTAATGGTTAAGGGGGGGGAATTGAGAGAATCTCAGTTAAGATTGCTTAATTTACATTGACAAGGACAGAGAGTTGTTTGCAGAGAGAGAGAGGGAGAAAGAGAGAGAGAGAGAGAGAGAGAGAGAGGATGATGTTTATGGGAATTTATTTTGTTTTCCCAGACTTGGTTATTTGTAATGTAACCCAGGTTAAGTTATGAATATAATCTCTCTCTGGACTTTTTCTCAATGGATTGTATTTCTCGATTATTGTCCATTATATTTTGGTTACTGGACTTAAACGTGAGTGCTTTAAGCTAGGAGAGCACCACAAGGAAGTTAGCTTTATATGGGTCATATTGAACTAAAATCTAATTTGTGTTGTATTTGTTTAACAAATACTGGCATTATGGTTATGACAAACAGAGGTCTTTTGTTTTAGAGATGCATACTGAAGTATTTATAGATAAAATGGTATGTCTGGGATTTGCTTTAAAATAATCTGGGGTTGGGGGAAAGTGGGTGAGAGTGTAGATAAACTAAGATTAGCTCTTCATTGACACTTGTTGAAGCTAGGTGATTCATGAGGTACATGGGGATTCATTATACTGTTCTTTCTACTTTTGTGCATGTTTGAAAATTTCCATAATAAAAAGTGAAGAAAAAAGTGGGCGAGTTAATATCTATTGTTCTTACTCTCTCTCTAAAAAAAAAATCTAAATGAAATTGCTCTTTATTATATGTGGTCCATATTTGCTTTTTTTCTGTGATTGCTGGTTCTTGACAGAAAAATATCATCACCACCCTTGATTATGAAAACACAGACTGAGTGTTTGCTGATATTTTAGTACAGGTGGGATCTACTTAACTCAATCCAATACTCAAAAGTCTTAACTTAATTAGAATCTAATTGCAAGATAATCTTCAGTGACAAAAAGGTTTCCCTGGTGTATTTTAAAAAGGATTTAATGAATAAAAACTTGACTTATGTGCTATTTTCTGGGACTCCGCCTATTGTAGAAATTGAGGTCCAGCCTTTTTTTTTTATTGTAAATTTTGCTGCCTGGGTAGATATTTGCATTTGACTGCCTTTACTTTTTAAAGGGAAGGAAGCAGACCAGCATGGCCCCAGACTAAATAATGCAGGTTTTCCATTTCAATTTTCTTTCCCCAGAGAATGTGGATGATGTTGCAGAGCACGTTTTAAATTTAATAAATGCATCCCCCACTCTGGATGAAGAAGAAACAAAGATTATTGTTTCTAAAGTATCTGATATTTCACAATGTGATGAGATAAGTATGAATCTAACCCAGATTATATTACAAATAATCAATGCTGTTTTGGGAAAACAAAACAATTCAGCCTCTGATCTGCATGAAGTGAGAAATGAGTAAGTCCTAATGCTTTGGTAAAATAAGTTATTTCATAAAACTTTATAATATTTGTTATTCATTCCTTTGCATACAGTCCCAAATTGTCAAGGTCGGGTGGCTATGCATTGAAAGCTGAGTTAGTACAGTGCAATGCGGTCATCCCACACGAATCCCAATTGTGAGGGAATACATTGCAAAATTCTAATTCAACATTAATCATAGCAGCATTTCAAGTAAATAGTTGCCCCAAACCAAACCTCCACTCTATTTTCCCCATCCTGGGTGCTCCCCCAATATCTATAAAATGCATCCGCCCAGTGTTCAAGCAAAAAGCTTAGGAATAATACTAGTTACCTCCCTCTACCTCACAGCCAACCAGTAATCAAGTCTTGTAGGAGGCACCGGATGTGAGGTTTTTAATCCCTGAAATATTCCTCGAACCCATCTACTTGTGTCCATCCCCACCATCACCACCACCCTAGCCCCAGCCTCATACCTCTCCGCTGACCTTCTACAGTAACCTCCTAACTGGGATCCCCGCCTCTGCACTTTCTTCTCTATGGTCTTTCTTCTACATGGCAGCCAGAAGGATCTTTGCATGCACAAATCAGATCATGTCATTCTCTTGCTTTTAAAACCCCTTGGTGGTTTTCTGGTACACGTAGAATAAAATCCAAATTTCTTGGCTTATGGGGCCATGCAGCATCTGGCTTTACATACAATAATGTCATTTAATCTTGAGAACCACGTTGCGAGAGGAATGCTAGGATTACCTCTGGCTTGCAGGTGAGTAAACAGAAGCTCGACCACGTTATTGTTAGACATTAGAGGAACTAAGACTTAAACCTGAGCCTGTCTGACTCCAAAGCCAGCACTCTGATTTACTAATCCCTTAAACAATATATAGACAGTGATTAAAACTGAAGGAAAAGTCTTACATTGAGGAAATCTCAGGAGGAGAACGGGCCTTATATTCAAGTGGTAGGAATACTCTTCTCTCCTTGCAGAATTCTGAGGACAATAGAGCATGCTGGTCACAAGATGGAGTTTTCTGGGAGGACAGCAAATCTGACGGCAGACAGGCTGGCGTTGGCCGTCCTGCGGGTGGACCACACATTTGAAGGCGTGACCTTCGGCATTCGCTCCTATGAAGAAGGTGCAGACCTTGAGGTGAGTCCAGCTCGGGGAACTGAGAACCGATCAGGCAAGTCTTCATTCACTTACTCCTTGGGAGAGAGAGGGGATCCTTTTTAAAGGTTTTAGTCTTCAGAGGACCTTATGAAAATACAAATATCCCAGTGAAAGATTCATATAGAACCCTCAGTAGCCTAACACCTCGGTTGGAATGGTGTCTGTGAGGTGAGCAATGATACCACCTTTGGCCCTGTGGCCTAAAATCATCTCACATGTTACCTTATTATTAGCTACCATTTCCGGATGTTGGGGCACTGAGCTACTGTCTGTACAGATAAGGAAACAGAGCAGTTGAATAACTTGCTCAAGGACACACAGCCTAATGGCAGAGCCAGCATTCAAACTTATGTCTGTCTGGCTTTAAAGTCTGGGCCCTTTCCATCACACCACAATACCTCAGCCTTTGGCAGGCCACAGGCCGCCAACCCCTGCAGAAAACAATTTGGGAGGGCACCATTTTTTTTTTTTTAATTTACTGTTTAAAAAAATTATAAAATTTCCATATGGGGAAATGCACAAATTCTAAGTATATATTTTCTGAATTCTAACAGATGTGTACATCTGTGTAACTCAAACCCCCATCAAGACATAGAGTATTACTGTCACCCCTAAAATTCCCCTCCTGCCCCTTCCTAGTCAATCCCCACAACTATGACCTCCCCTGGCAACCACTGTTCTGATATTTTGCCACCATAGTTTTGCCTGTTCTAGAACTTTATATAAATGGAATCATAAAATATGTACTGTCTTATATAAGACTGCTTGCATGTAGCATTCTTTTGTTTCTATAGTTCATCCTTTTTTATTATTGAATAATATTCCATTATATGGATATACCAAAGATCGTGTGTCTAGTCTCCTGTTGATGGACATTGGGATTGTTTCTGGTTTTTGGCTATTATGAACGATAAATACTGCATTGAACATTCATGTAAAAGTCTGTGTGGACATATGTTTTCATATATCTTGAGTAAATACCTAGGAAAGGGATTGCTGGCTCATAAGATGTAAGTTTAAATTTGTAAGAACCTAACATGCTGTTTTCCAAAGTCGGTCATGGAGTGATTTTTCATTTTTTTTTTTAAATCGAAGTATAGGGTGCCTGGGTGGCTCAGTTGGTTAAGCGTCTGCCTTCAGCTCAGGTCTTGATCCAGGGTCCTGGCATCAAGTTCCACATCAGGCTCCTTACTCAGCGGGGAGCCTGCTTCTTCCTCTCCCTCTGCTTGTACTCTCTCTGACAAATAAATAAATAAAATCTTAAAAAAAATAAAAGTATAGTTGACACACAATGCTACATTAGTTTGATTTTTCATTTTTTAAAGATTTTATTTATTTATTTGACAGAGAGAGATACAGCGAGAGAGGGAACACAAGCAGGGGGAGTGGGAGAGGTTGAAGCAGGCTTCCACTGAGTAGGGAGTCCGATGCGGGTCTTGATCCCATGACCTGAACTGAAGTCAGACGCTTAACGACTGAGCCACCCAGGGGCCCCTCATTTTTGTATTGACCATTTGGGAATCATCTTTGGTGATGCATCTGTTAAAATCTTTTGCCCACTTTTAAATTGGGTTGTTTGTCTTCTTAGTAAGTTGTAAGTATTTTTTATATATCCTGGATACAAGGCATTTATCAGATATATGCTTTGAAAATATTTTCTCTGTGGCTTGCCTATTCATTTCCTCAGTGGTGTCTTTTTCTTTCTTTAGAGAGAGAGAGAGAGTGAGTGGGGGGCAGGCGAAGGGAGAGGGAGAGAATCTCAAGCAGACTCTGTGCTGCGTGTGGAGCCCAATGTGGGGCTCAACCTCACGACCCTGTGATCATGACGTGAAATGAAATCAAGAGTTGGATGCCTAACTGACTGAGCCACCCAGGTGCCCCCTCAGTGGTGTCTACTGATGAGCATAAATTTTACCTTTGATGAGGTATAATTTATCAGTTCTTTCTTTTATGAACAACCTGTGACTTGTCTAAGAAATCTTTGCCTACCAGCAGGTGATGAAGATATTCTATGCTTTCCTTTCAAAGATCTATGGTTTTAGCTTTAATGGGTAGGACTATAAACCTAATTGAATTAAATTTTGTGTATGGTGTGAGGAGGTATGGTGTAGCATATGCTTTGGAGTTCATTTTGTTCCATCCAGATACTCACTTACTCCAGCACCATTTATTGAGACTTTTCTTTCCCCCTTGGCTTGCTTTGGCATCTTGGACAAAAAATCAATCATGCAGATGTAGGTCTATTTCTGAACTTTCTACTCTGTTCCATTAATTTTCTTATAGATGCGTACACCATGATCACCCTGTCTTGATTCCTCCAGTCTTGAAGTCAGGTAGTGTGAGTCCTTCAACTTTGTTCTTTCTCAATATAGCTTTGGTTATTCTAGGCCTTTCCCATGTCCATAGGAATTTTCAAACATGCTTATCAATTTGTACAAAAAAGAAATGTGTTGAAAGTGATTGGGATTGAGTTGAAGCTGTTGATTAATTTTGGGAGAACTGATTTCTTAGTAATAGTAAGTCTTCTCATCCAGGAACATTTACTCAGGTAGACTGTAATTTCCCTTAGCAGTGTTTTGTACTTTATTTATTTATTAATTTATTTATTATTTTAAGTTTTTATTTTCATTCAGTTAATGTATGGTGTTATATTAGTTTCAGGTGTACAATATAGTGATTCAACACTTCCATACATCACCCTGTGCTCATCACAAGTGTACTTACTCCTAGGTGATAAATAGAGATAGATATAGACTATCAACTTTATTTTTATATACTTGCAGCAAATAATTGGAAAATTAAATTTAAAAAATTCCATTTGCAACAGCATCAGAAAACATAAAATATTTAGGAATAAATTTACTTACACCCAGCATGGAGCCAAATATGGGGCTTGAGTTCATCACAGTGAAATCGAGACCTGAGCCGAGATCAAGTGTTGGACACTTAACTGACTGAACCACCCAGGTGTCCCTTTGTTTCGTAGTGTTAAGCAGAATAGTATCACCATGTTTTGAAGTTTTAAGTGGAGTAATATCACATGTCTTTTTGTCAAGATTTTTGGATGTTGCCCCACAGGTCCCTGGGGTTATGTTAATGTTTTTAATCATTTTACTATTTATTTTTCTGATAGTGTAATTTCTACCGATTTCTCTTCAAGCTCATTGACATCTGTCACCTTCATGTTACTCTTGGACTGACTCAGTGCAATTTAAAAATTTTTGATATTGTATTTTTGGTTCTAGAATTTCCATTTTGTCCTTTTTCTGCCTGCTTCTCTGCTGTTATTTCCTCTTTTTGCTTTAATTGCAAGCATATTTTCTTTTAAATACCTGAGCATAATTACACTAGCTGCTTAAAAATCTTTGTCTGCTGACTCCAATATCTGGGTCATCTGCAGGTTGATCTCCACTGATTGTCATTTCACTTCAAAATGGGTCACACTCATTCTTCCTTCACACATGGGATAAGTTTGGATTATGTCCTGGATATTGTTAATGTTATGTTGTGGAAATTCTGGATTCCACTATATTCTTTGGAAGACTATTGACTTTTGTTATGCCAGGCAAGTGACTCTCTTAGATGGCAGCTTAAATCTCAGGTAAGTTCCTTTATCCTTAGTTGGAGTCTGTCTTGTACATTAATGGTTCAGAGGCCAGGCAGAGTCTATACTCAGAATTTTGTCTCCTACCGATGGGGTGCCCGGGTGGTTCAGTAGGTTAAGTGTCTGACTTCAGCTCAAGTCAATATTCTTGGGTCCTGGGATCCAGCCCAGCAGGGCTCCCTGCCGGGTGTGTGTGTGGGGTCTGCTTGTCTGCCCCTCCCCCACCCCTCCCTCTGCCCCCTCCCCCTGCCCTCCCTCCGTCCCTCTCCCACACACTTTCTCTCTCAAATAAATAAATCTTTAAAAAAAAAAGAATTTGGCTCCTCCTCTCTAGCTTTCTCCT